AGCTACAAAAGAAAGAGGAACTTGCTTCGACATACTGGTTTTACTGAAGGGCAGTTCCCAGTGGTCTACTTAGGGGTGCCCATCACCTCTGGTCATCTTACAGCTAGGCATTTGGAGACTTTGGTAGCCAAAATTCGAACCAAAATAGCAGGCTGGAAAATGAGACTACTATCTCAAGGAGGTCGACTTATTTTAATCCGACATGTTCTGGCATGTATGGCAATACATTTATTAGCGATGGTAAATGTTCCGAAGATAACTCTCAACAACATAAACTCCTTATTATCTACTTTTTTCTGGGGTGAGAGTAATGGTAAACAGAAAAAGAATTGGCGTGCTTGGTCTAAAGTATGTATGCCAACTATAGAGGATGGACTTGGGGTACGGGATTTTGTTACAATTCAAAGATCCCTCCATATGAAACTTGCATGGCGACTTATGACGAGTAATAGTTTGTGGTCCAGTTTTATCCATAGCAAATACGTAAAGAACGATCACCTTTTGGTCAACTCTAACACCAGTGGATCAAGCTTGTGGAAATCAACCGTAAAGGTGCTACCTGAGGTGTATGAAAATTCAAAATGGAAGATCAAAGATGGGTCAGCTTCATTTTGGTATGATCGCTGGTTAGCTAGTGGCCCATTAAATGAGCAGGTCTTGGAGGTAACCAACCCAAGACTGAAGGTTAGAGACTGCTAGATTGAAGATGGTTGGGATCTCACCCATCTTCAAGCGCTAGTAGGGGATAAAGGCAGAGGAAATTGTACAAACCATTGGTGCCAGAAAAGAAGGATGTGATATTATCATATGGAAGGTGAACGATAATGGAGAATTCTCCACTTCAAGCGCCTGGGATATTTTAAGGGTGAAGAGTTCAGAGATTCCTTGGATGAAATGGATATGGCATAAATTTCTACCCAAAAAAATTTCTGTTTGTATGTGGAAGGCGAAGTTTGGCTGCTTAAGTGTGGATACTAAGGTGAGATCAACAGGAATTGCTCTAGCTTCACGCTGTGATTGTTGTGAGAAGGGACAAGTGGAAACACTTGATCATGTACTTAACTTTGGGGATATTGCTACGACAGTTTGGAAGTGGGCATCTTTAGCCTTGGGTCTGCACTATATGGGGCCACAATCTTGGTGGACAAGAGTCCGTAGATGGTTCACATGCGCAAAAAATGCCTCACAACGTGGAATTCTAATTGGGCTATTACCAAGCTTGATAACATGGAAACTATGGGGACGGCGATGTAAGGCACGTATGGAAGAGATTCGAGAATCTGCGGAGGAGGTATGGTTTAAAATAAAGGTTTGGTTGCGCCTCTTAGCTGAAGAAATTGTCAAAGTCTCAAAACTAAGTAAAATAGACAATGAACTCCTCAAAGCCTTAGAGGTGCTTATGAGTTCGAAGACGAGTAAACCAACCCTCTTTGTTTCTTGGAGGAAACCTGCTGATGGTTGGGTAAAACTTAATATTGATGGGAGTAGTCTTGGTAATTCGGGACCTTGTGGAGGTGGGGGAGTTATCAGGGATCATCATGGTAATATGATTGCTGGCTTCTCTGCCCCCATACGGATTTGGAAGTAACAATGAAGCAGAGTTGCGTGCTGTGATAACTGGTGTAGAGCTATGTAAAGAGATGGGCTTCCAACAGGTGGAAATTGAGTGTGACTCAGCTGTTGTGGTAAACTGGTTAACAAACAGTTCATGTAGGATTTGGTATTTGTGGGATTATTGGGAGGAGTTACTAAAATTACTTGATGGAATCAGTTTTACCATTTCTCACCAATATAGAGAAGCAAACAGAGCCGTAGACTTTCTAGCCAGACAAGGGGCGGATGGTATCACGATGACTTACATGCACATAGATAAAATACCAAATTAGTTAAGAGGTATTATTCGTACGGAGAAACTTGGTTTTCCAAATATTAGGCAATAATTGTTAGGTTGATGTGTGTAACTAGATGGGTTGATTAGTTCTACATGGCTTGTTTGGATCTTTTGTTGCTTTGTTATTTTGACCCCACGGTATTCCTCTGCCATAAGTGAGGACGATTGAATAAAGTTCTTGTTTAAAAAAAAAAATTCTGTTGAGGCGATAATCCTTCCTCCTCATTGTTGTGAAATTCCAAAACACAACCGTTAATCCAAATTTCACAAATAAATTAGAATACTCAAAAAATTTCAAAACTAGGATCCTAGTGAAACGAGCTAATGTACATGAGTGGTGCAAACTTTGCAACAGTCATAAGCATCAGACTAAGAAATGGACCATGAAACAGGTGGTCTTGAAAGCATGGATTTAACAAATTATCCCCTAAGAATTAAAATATGGAACTCCTAATATTACATATTATGAGGCAGCAACGAAGGTTTAGTTAATACTCCTCTATAATACTGCCTATTGTCCTCCAGCCCAATGCACCAAGATAAAGTATTGGTAAACAATAATAGGGTAGTCGAGTTTAACTAGGTCAAATTTATTTTTAACCACACATTTCATGAAATCAACAATTTTTATCAACTTTCCAACCACATATTTCATCAATTTTTATAAAAATCTACTAAAAATCTAATTTTTAATCCAAACCAAATAGGGGCTAAATGTGGTGTGGTTGAACTCAACATTTTGAATCTTGATTTGACTCCAACAATCAAACTTGATTTAATGGATATTGTAGTTGTGCTCTAGAATTATAGATTGCTACTGTGTGCTACCCACTGCAGATTTGTTTAATTATTTCACATAAGTTGATTAGGTTTAAGATATTTTTTGAACCATGTCGAACAGTCTCTTCTAAAATCTTAAGCTGTTAAAAATATTATATGCTCCCACCTCAGTTACGTATATTTTTCGTCAAAGGCCAGAAATGCAAGTACGAGATTTGAATTTAACAAATTTCGTCATGTCATGTTGAACCAACTCATCTAAACGAGAGCATATATCTATTGCTAATGATTGCAGGGTTTGTTGCCGATGGACTGGCACCATGGATGAGATATTATTACTTTTTCAATGTGAACGATGAGTATGAAACCAAACTTATTTAGTGGAACCATTGTTTCATTTTCACAATTAAAGTTAGGAAAAAGAAACTAATTTTATTTTTTTCAATGGTATCGCATGGAGAATTTGATTATAGGAAGGGAATAGTCTTCCTAATAATAAATTTTTTGAAAACTGCATGCGCATAACAAAATGGAATTATTTATATATTGAAAATATAATCAATTAGTGGTTGACGTGTTTGAAATTGAAAACATGTCACTCTTCTTTTCACCGACTTTTAAGAACAATAGTCAGCTTACTAGATTGCAGTAATAATTGTCTAATCTCTATATAGACTTGATGTTAGTCATAGGTTTTCTGCAATACAAATAATTACAATATGGAGTCCTTGAGATCATTTTTTAGAATTTCGATTTTAGTTTTATCAACTTTTTTAATAGCAAATGCTGATGAAAATATGGCCGATTGTCATTACCCTGCAATATACAATTTTGGCGATTCAAATTCAGACACCGGCGGTATTTCAGCAGCATTTTATCCGGCAGGCTCCCCTTCTGGTGAGACGTACTTTCATAGGCCAGCCGGAAGAGCCTCTGATGGCCGTCTGATCATCGACTTTATTGGTACGATAAAAATATAATTTGAAGATGAAGAACCATTTTTTCACTTTTAATATTTTTGTTAGTTCTAATTTGATGTGTTGGAAATTCTTGTTGTGAGGAAGCTGAACACCTGGGATTACCATATTTGAGTGCATACCTGGACTCTATTGGAACCAATTTTAGTCATGGTGCAAACTTTGCAACAGGGGGTGCAACCATTATGAGACCAAACGAATCATGGTTTGAGACGGGGGTCAGCCCTTTCAATCTTGAAATCCAAGTGGAGCATTACACTCAGTTTAAAGATAGAACAGCTTATTTCTACAATCAAGGTCACCCCAAATTTCAACCATTTTAGTATTATCCAGTATCTATGAAACAACACTGCATGGATAATACTAAAATGTCCAGCCCGTTCGTCTAGTACAACATACTAAACACATTTCAACCAATGTTTCCTTGAACTTCTGACATGAATGTTAGTTTTTTGTGATTATAAGGCAAGGAATTGTCCGAAAGAGAAAGGATACCAAAGCCTGAGGATTTCTCAAAGGCTCTTTTTACGCTCGATATAGGACAAAATGATGTTGCTGCTGGCATTCGAAAGTTGAGTTTTGAACTTCAGCAAGCAGCCATACCCAAAATAGTAAGCCAGTTCATAGCACAAGTCCGAGTAAGTAGCAATACTAATTTCGTTCCGTCTCTTTCTCACTCCATTTTTTATCATTGAATAATCTTGATGAGCATATATTTGGCTGCAGAATCTGTATCAAAGAGGCGCAAGGACAATCTGGATACACAATACTGGTCCAATTGGCTGTTTACCAGTAACCATTTCTAAAGTCCTAGACCCCATGCTTGGGTATCTAGACGAAAATGGCTGTGTCAAGAATCAAAACAATGTAGCCATAGGGCTCAACAAAAAGCTCAAGGATGAGATTATCAAACTGAGGATTGAGCTTTCTGAAGCCACAATAATCTATGTTGACATCTACAGCGTGAAGTATGAGTTAATCTCCAACACGAAGAATCAAGGTAATCAATGTACCTACAGGATGGGTCTTTGTCGGTAAAAATGGTAATAATAGAGAGATTTTAACGAGCCCAGAAACCTTTTTCCTGTTGATTTCAGGATTTGAAGACCCCTTCAAAATCTGCTGTGGTTATCATGGAATTGGCTATGATGTATGGTGTGGAAATAAAGGAACTGTAAATGGTAGTGAAGTTTATGCTGGTTCATGTGCAAATCCTCCCAGAGTCATCAGCTGGGATGGTGTGCACTATTCTGAAGGTGCAAATCATTGGATTGCAAACCGTATAGTCAATGGCTCCTTTTCGGATCCACCAATCTCCATCAAAAGAGCATGCCATAAGTAAATGCGAATCCTTGAACTAATTTACCTATAGTGTCAAAAATATTTATCTAGCATCCAGTTCTAAAACGACGTATAAACTGATAAATCTGTAATAAGTGAACCACAATAGATGAAAACAAGTTGAAGTATCGAACATCGTAACATTGAATAAATGCAGAATTTTGATAAGACAGATTCACTGGCGGTGTCCTTGTGGAAGAGGAACCACCCTATGGTATGGTACCTCCCGTCGAGGCAAACATCCTTCCTCCTCATCGTCGTCAAATTCCAAAACATAACTGTTAAATCCAAATTTCAAGAATAAATTAGACAACCCAAAGAATTTCACAACTAGAATTTCCCAAGTGTACTCTCAGTAGATATTACACAATTAGTTCATCGGCGGCATGTTTGGACGTTGGATTACATAACATTGGACGATATTAAAAAGAACAAAAAAATGTGCAAATCTTGTTCATCATGTCCAGTAATAGTACCAAATATGCACCACTTGTAAATAGATAATTAAAAATTCTAGCAAAATAAAAAATTAGAGGTAATGCTACTTACTCATCAGTCTTCTTCTAGACATTGGCAAAATCGGGAACATTGCATTACATGCATATGCAGAAAACGGTTAGTTTCACTTGGATTAATGAGCTATTAAGTTTCACTTCGATTTATGTTTATGCACAAAGTAATTAGTATTATATACCTTACGGGTTTGGACTACAGTTGCCTTATACAGAGCAGTGGTTCCCGGATAGACTGCCAAAACATGTTTTCCCGGAGGAAATTCTTGAGCATTTGTGAGATCAGTCCGCTTAGGAAAAGGTATGATATGTGACATGGGTAACTTGTACTGTCTGAAAGCAATATAGAGAACACAAGAGGAAAAGACAATATTAATCAATTGGAAGAATATAATACATTAGACAGAAGGATTGTCAAAAGCATCAGACTAAGAAATGGACCATGAAAAACAGGTAGTCTAACAAGCCATGAAGTGACAAATAATCATGTAATAATTAAAATTTGGAATTCCAAATATTACATATTACAAAATGTTAGGAAGCGAATGGAAATTAGATGCTTGATTGGCAAAGCTAACTGAATGATAAATTATAAAATACAAAGGAAATTAAAGGAGATGGATGCAACACTCTGAACCTGTCCAAATAAGCCAGAAAAATCTTTTCATTTCATTCTCTTTCCTAATAATAGAAATTTATGGCAGAGAAATTAGTAAACAAGTAATTAGGTGACTTCGTTGGGATTTGGCCTCTGAAAGATGGACAGGAATTTTGAAACAAAAACACACAAGGCAATAATTTAAGGAATAGATATGTCTAGCAAACAATTATCGATGAAATTATTTACTTAGCCCCTGTTTAATGTGGATTAAAATCAAATATTTAGTAGATTTTAATAAAAGTTGATGATACGTGTGGTTGAAAAGTTGTGGATCCCATGAAATGTGTGGTTAAATTAATTTTTGACTTTGACTAGAAATTTTAATTTGACTTCAATCCAAATCAAAGGGCTTAGTGACAGCCAATAGATATACCTTAGGCTCAGCTATTGTGAAACCTTTTTTAAACTATGTAATCATAATAGTGAAACTACCACTTGAGTCATGCAGCAATAGTCAGCAAGCACAATTGTCACACACAGCAAGTCACTTTTAATTATCACCAGAAATAAAAACTTTTATAGTTCAAATTGGATGTGAAGTGTTCCAAGCATGCATTGCCATGTCAAAATTGAAAGCATTGCCTTCTTTAGTGAGACAAAAATGAAAAAGAAAGATTAGAAGAAACATACTTTTGTAGATTTGAACACGAAGCTCAAAAACGAATTCCTAAATTGACGTAGAATCAGCACAAATATCCCGACTGACAAACACTTGTAAAGTTTACACAATATAACACAGTAAAAAAAATTAATAAAGTAGATGTTGTTTAATAGATAAGGATAAGGAAACACATACTTCTGCTCACTACTTTCTTCATCATCACCAGGTTCCTCATCTAGAACTTCGAATCTATAAAGAGATGCATTCATCAGATTCAAATCAGATGCATTCAATAAAACAAAGTTTAATCTCCATGTTCTTTTCATTTCCATCTTATTTACCATCTGAGTTATTAGCCATTTCTTTCTCATAAGGAAACTAAATATTTATCAACTGAGGTGGTATTTAATAAAATCACCATGCTTACACTCTTGTTTCCTTGTCAAAATGGATCACTTTAACTATGACCCATTCTTCTTTTTCAGCCTCCTCTTGTCTAACCCTTGCTGCTACCTGAAAAATATACAAGCGTCAAATTAAAACTCTCCAAAATAAAGAAACTAGCATGTTATCACTGCAAGTGGATTCAAAGGGAGTATACTCTCGTGCAGTTGAAAACTTACCTGTTCACCCTTCAAATTAGCAAGAGAATCTAGGAGATTCCGCAAAGAAGGAGAAGGTCTCGTGATGTCAGAGTCAGCCTTCATTCGCTTCTTTTTCTGCTCACCTTCTGCTGTTTATCCAAAATAAAAATTATATTAAAGTTACGGTAAAGAAACTACCATAAAGGTAAGTTAAGCAGTAGCATATTTACTTAGATGTAATTGCATTCAAGTCTAGATCCCAACTTTAAACTAATTAAAAACAATAATTAATAATAGAGGTGGTCCATGCTATGACTGATAATTCACATGCATCTCATTCTGTTTCCTTCATTAAGTTTCAGTCTTAATTAAAATTTAAAACTCTTCTCCACGCATACACTTTCAGAGGAGGAGGATAGAAGAAAGAGGCCGGGGATAGAAATTAAAAAAAGGTAAATGGATGACCAATAAACAAATTTCTAACACAATTTTACGGACAACGGCAGTAAAATTTTCTGTAGCTTAAATACAGCACTAGTACTTCTGTTGAACAATGATTGCTTGTCAGGTACAAACCTATCCTTCTTCGGTGTTGCCCCGGAGTTCCAGAAGGCATCAACGTATCTAGTTGCCCTAACAATTGAGTGGAAATGCTGCAATTAAATAAAAAAACATCTTATGTCAGAACAAATATGTATCCATCCGTGTCATTATGATTTTTATAAAATTGAGAGACCTTTGATGCAATAACCTTCACAAGGGAATTTCAAACAAGAATGAGACTAACTTCAGAAGATTATCCAACTTGAGCATTAAATTGGCAGTAGGGGTTCAAACTATAGAACAATTGAAGGGAATGCCAAAAAATATGTAGCAAACGTACTTTACTTCACTCTCCGATAGCTCTTTGGCTTGAGTATATAACATCTTAAGCCTCGAAAGGGAATTATCACCAGGTTTTTCGACCACCTCTGGAGCTTTATGGACAAGCAAAGGAAAAAAAAAATATATCAAACAATGTGGAACTCTCTAATGAACAAGAAGTGAGAAAGAATGGTCATTTACTGAAAATATGTAACATTTATGTCCAGTCTGAGCACTTGCACAAATGGGAAAGAATAAGAAAACGCAGTTGTGGCAGCAGACAAGATAACAACCCTAATTTTACAATCAAATATTCTTAAAAACACGACGGTCATGGCATCCAAAGTTCCTAATATAATGAAGAAAATAGAAAGAAAAATGTAGAATTAAAATTTCATACAAAAATGCCTATAGTTATTTATGTGTTAATTTCCTAACTAGATTAAAATTGAACTTATATGATTAAACCATATAGAGAAGAAGTTCATATTCCTTACTAGAGCACAGAACACTCATCTTTCCGTAGAGTGCTACCCTAGAGTAAGATAAGCGAACACTTGAGAAACCATATTTCCTGCTACAGAATTGACCCATAGCTTGAATATTGATTCTGGCTTGCAATGGCTCTAGCGGACCTCGAACCCTCAGGGGTAAATCCTTAACCGCATCCTCATTATGAAGAAGATATAGAATCCTCTGTCATTCCAGAATCAACAGAATTTATCTTCGATTTTTCCATAAAGACGCCCATAAGAAATGCTGGTGCTACACTCCTCTGTATTAGTCCTCTTAATTGATTGTTACATGGGTTCCCAATGTTGTTAAGTAGATGCATTTGCAACTCATACTTAATTTGACACAAAGTTACTATGTGAAACATATGCACACGTCCATGTTGACAAACCTCCTGGAAATGCTCAACAAACACAAATAAAGCCTAATACGATCAGATTATAACTTTTAATAGAAGCCTAAGCAATCAGTTACAGATTGTCCCCAATACAGTTGGTGAACAGTGACATAAATGTTATAAATTCACCTAAAAGTAATCCTGATTCTTCTTAGCAATCCAGTAAACAGAAAAAGAAATGGCGTGCTTGGTCTAAAGTATGTATGCTAACTATAGAGGGTGGACTTGGGGTACGGGATTTTGTTACAATTCAACGATCCCTCCGTATGAAACTTGCATGGCGGCTTATGACGAGTAATAGTTTGTGGTCCAGTTTTATCCATAGCAAATACGTAAAGAACGGTCACCTTTTGGTCAACTCTAACACCAGTGGATCAAGCTTGTGGAAATCAATCGTAAAGGTGCTACCTGAGGTGTATGAAAATTCAAAATGGAAGATCAAAGATGGGTCAGCTTCATTTTGGTATGATCGCTGGTTAGCTAGTGGCCCATTAAATGAGCAGGCCTTGGAGGTAACCAACCCAAGACTGAAGGTTAGAGATTGCTGGATTGAAGATGGTTGGGATCTCGCCCATCTTCAAGAGCTAGTGGGGGAGGTAAAGGCAGAGGAAATTGTACAAGCCATTGGTGCTAGAAAAGAAGGAAGTGATATTATCATATAGAAGCCGAACGATAATGGAGAATTCTCCATTTCAAGCGCCTGGGATATTGTAAGTGTGAGGAGTCCAGAGATTCCTTGGATGAAATGGATATGGCATAAATTTCTACCCAAAAAAATTTCTGTTTGTATGTGGAAGGCGAAGTTTGGCTGCTTAAGTGTGGATACTAAGGTGAGATCAACAGGAATTGCTCTAGCTTCACGCTGTGATTGTTGTGAGAAGGGACAAGTGGAAACACTTGATCATGTACTTAACTCTGGGGATATTGCTAGGACAGTTTGGAAGTGGGCATCTTTAGCCTTGGGTCTGCACTATATGGGGCCACAATCTTGGTGGACAAGAGTCCATAGATGGTTCACATGCGCAAAAAATGCCTCACAACGTGGAATTCTAATTGGGCTATTACCAAGCTTGATAACATGGAAACTATGGGGACGGCGATGTATGGCACGTATGGAAGAGATTCGAGAATCTGCGGAGGAGGTATGGTTTAAAATAAAGGTTTGGTTGCGCCTCTTAGCTGAAGAAATTGTCAAAGTCTCAAAACTAAGTAAAATAGACAATGAACTCCTCAAAGCCTTAGAGGTGCTTATGAGTTCGAAGACGAGTAAACCAACCCTCTTTGTTTCTTGGAGGAAACCTGCTGATGGTTGGGTAAAACTTAATATTGATGGGAGTAGTCTTGGTAATTCGGGACCTTGTGGAGGTGGGGGAGTTATCAGGGATCATCATGGTAATATGATTGCTGGCTTCTCTGCCCCCATACGGATTTGGAAGTAACAATGAAGCAGAGTTGCGTGCTGTGATAACTGGTGTAGAGCTATGTAAAGAGATGGGCTTCCAACAGGTGGAAATTGAGTGTGACTCAGCTGTTGTGGTAAACTGGTTAACAAACAGTTCATGTAGGATTTGGTATTTGTGGGATTATTGGGAGGAGTTACTAAAATTACTTGATGGAATCAGTTTTACCATTTCTCACCAATATAGAGAAGCAAACAGAGCCGTAGACTTTCTAGCCAGACAAGGGGCGGATGGTATCACGATGACTTACATGCACATAGATAAAATACCAAATTAGTTAAGAGGTATTATTCGTACGGAGAAACTTGGTTTTCCAAATATTAGGCAATAATTGTTAGGTTGATGTGTGTAACTAGATGGGTTGATTAGTTCTACATGGCTTGTTTGGATCTTTTGTTGCTTTGTTATTTTGACCCCACGGTATTCCTCTGCCATAAGTGAGGACGATTGAATAAAGTTCTTGTTTAAAAAAAAAAATTCTGTTGAGGCGATAATCCTTCCTCCTCATTGTTGTGAAATTCCAAAACACAACCGTTAATCCAAATTTCACAAATAAATTAGAATACTCAAAAAATTTCAAAACTAGGATCCTAGTGAAACGAGCTAATGTACATGAGTGGTGCAAACTTTGCAACAGTCATAAGCATCAGACTAAGAAATGGACCATGAAACAGGTGGTCTTGAAAGCATGGATTTAACAAATTATCCCCTAAGAATTAAAATATGGAACTCCTAATATTACATATTATGAGGCAGCAACGAAGGTTTAGTTAATACTCCTCTATAATACTGCCTATTGTCCTCCAGCCCAATGCACCAAGATAAAGTATTGGTAAACAATAATAGGGTAGTCGAGTTTAACTAGGTCAAATTTATTTTTAACCACACATTTCATGAAATCAACAATTTTTATCAACTTTCCAACCACATATTTCATCAATTTTTATAAAAATCTACTAAAAATCTAATTTTTAATCCAAACCAAATAGGGGCTAAATGTGGTGTGGTTGAACTCAACATTTTGAATCTTGATTTGACTCCAACAATCAAACTTGATTTAATGGATATTGTAGTTGTGCTCTAGAATTATAGATTGCTACTGTGTGCTACCCACTGCAGATTTGTTTAATTATTTCACATAAGTTGATTAGGTTTAAGATATTTTTTGAACCATGTCGAACAGTCTCTTCTAAAATCTTAAGCTGTTAAAAATATTATATGCTCCCACCTCAGTTACGTATATTTTTCGTCAAAGGCCAGAAATGCAAGTACGAGATTTGAATTTAACAAATTTCGTCATGTCATGTTGAACCAACTCATCTAAACGAGAGCATATATCTATTGCTAATGATTGCAGGGTTTGTTGCCGATGGACTGGCACCATGGATGAGATATTATTACTTTTTCAATGTGAACGATGAGTATGAAACCAAACTTATTTAGTGGAACCATTGTTTCATTTTCACAATTAAAGTTAGGAAAAAGAAACTAATTTTATTTTTTTCAATGGTATCGCATGGAGAATTTGATTATAGGAAGGGAATAGTCTTCCTAATAATAAATTTTTTGAAAACTGCATGCGCATAACAAAATGGAATTATTTATATAATGAAAATATAATCAATTAGTGGTTGACGTGTTTGAAATTGAAAACATGTCACTCTTCTTTTCACCGACTTTTAAGAACAATAGTCAGCTTACTAGATTGCAGTAATAATTGTCTAATCTCTATATAGACTTGATGTTAGTCATAGGTTTTCTGCAATACAAATAATTACAATATGGAGTCCTTGAGATCATTTTTTAGAATTTCGATTTTAGTTTTATCAACTTTTTTAATAGCAAATGCTGATGAAAATATGGCCGATTGTCATTACCCTGCAATATACAATTTTGGCGATTCAAATTCAGACACCGGCGGTATTTCAGCAGCATTTTATCCGGCAGGCTCCCCTTCTGGTGAGACGTACTTTCATAGGCCAGCCGGAAGAGCCTCTGATGGCCGTCTGATCATCGACTTTATTGGTACGATAAAAATATAATTTGAAGATGAAGAACCATTTTTTCACTTTTAATATTTTTGTTAGTTCTAATTTGATGTGTTGGAAATTCTTGTTGTGAGGAAGCTGAACACCTGGGATTACCATATTTGAGTGCATACCTGGACTCTATTGGAACCAATTTTAGTCATGGTGCAAACTTTGCAACAGGGGGTGCAACCATTATGAGACCAAACGAATCATGGTTTGAGACGGGGGTCAGCCCTTTCAATCTTGAAATCCAAGTGGAGCATTACACTCAGTTTAAAGATAGAACAGCTTATTTCTACAATCAAGGTCACCCCAAATTTCAACCATTTTAGTATTATCCAGTATCTATGAAACAACACTGCATGGATAATACTAAAATGTCCAGCCCGTTCGTCTAGTACAACATACTAAACACATTTCAACCAATGTTTCCTTGAACTTCTGACATGAATGTTAGTTTTTTGTGATTATAAGGCAAGGAATTGTCCGAAAGAGAAAGGATACCAAAGCCTGAGGATTTCTCAAAGGCTCTTTTTACGCTCGATATAGGACAAAATGATGTTGCTGCTGGCATTCGAAAGTTGAGTTTTGAACTTCAGCAAGCAGCCATACCCAAAATAGTAAGCCAGTTCATAGCACAAGTCCGAGTAAGTAGCAATACTAATTTCGTTCCGTCTCTTTCTCACTCCATTTTTTATCATTGAATAATCTTGATGAGCATATATTTGGCTGCAGAATCTGTATCAAAGAGGCGCAAGGACAATCTGGATACACAATACTGGTCCAATTGGCTGTTTACCAGTAACCATTTCTAAAGTCCTAGACCCCATGCTTGGGTATCTAGACGAAAATGGCTGTGTCAAGAATCAAAACAATGTAGCCATAGGGCTCAACAAAAAGCTCAAGGATGAGATTATCAAACTGAGGATTGAGCTTTCTGAAGCCACAATAATCTATGTTGACATCTACAGCGTGAAGTATGAGTTAATCTCCAACACGAAGAATCAAGGTAATCAATGTACCTACAGGATGGGTCTTTGTCGGTAAAAATGGTAATAATAGAGAGATTTTAACGAGCCCAGAAACCTTTTTCCTGTTGATTTCAGGATTTGAAGACCCCTTCAAAATCTGCTGTGGTTATCATGGAATTGGCTATGATGTATGGTGTGGAAATAAAGGAACTGTAAATGGTAGTGAAGTTTATGCTGGTTCATGTGCAAATCCTCCCAGAGTCATCAGCTGGGATGGTGTGCACTATTCTGAAGGTGCAAATCATTGGATTGCAAACCGTATAGTCAATGGCTCCTTTTCGGATCCACCAATCTCCATCAAAAGAGCATGCCATAAGTAAATGCGAATCCTTGAACTAATTTACCTATAGTGTCAAAAATATTTATCTAGCATCCAGTTCTAAAACGACGTATAAACTGATAAATCTGTAATAAGTGAACCACAATAGATGAAAACAAGTTGAAGTATCGAACATCGTAACATTGAATAAATGCAGAATTTTGATAAGACAGATTCACTGGCGGTGTCCTTGTGGAAGAGGAACCACCCTATGGTATGGTACCTCCCGTCGAGGCAAACATCCTTCCTCCTCATCGTCGTCAAATTCCAAAACATAACTGTTAAATCCAAATTTCAAGAATAAATTAGACAACCCAAAGAATTTCACAACTAGAATTTCCCAAGTGTACTCTCAGTAGATATTACACAATTAGTTCATCGGCGGCATGTTTGG